GCCGGAATGCAGCCTGGCGGCATAGGAATTCAAACTGCAGGTGTACTACATCTTATTAAGTTTCTTCGCTTAATGTATAATGCAACCCTAATTTTAGTTGGATCCAAAAAGTTCAACTCCTTTTATCCACTTGGCCGTTTGAGAATGAGTGGTGGGTTATTTCAGTAGAATTCTGATTGCGAAATTATCGGATTGACAACAACGTAAAAGGATTATCAATCCATAGGGCTGGATCTCTCGTATCTTTTCTCTCTCTCTCTCGTTTTCAAACATTCAAAAGTCAACAAGCTGTTGTCATTTTGGCAGGCGAACGAACGATCAGCAGTAGAAAGTAGAAAGCAGGCGATGGTATGGGCAAGGGTTTGGAAGTTTCCGTCGAAAGTCATGCCCGCCCATCAAAGCAATGTACAATTTATTTAATGATTCAAGACAAGCCTACTCCCCATTCCAGAACATGCAGCTTTTGAATATTGACTTGCTATAATGTCCACGAAGTTTAAAACTTCGGCTTTGGCCGTTGATCAAATTATAATTTCGTCCATGGAATTACAAATCTCGATATGCAGCTCGCAATCCAATTCAGATAGCAATCTATGATAAACAAAGAAAACTCTCTGTTTTGTTAAAGTCAACCGTTCACATAAAAATAAAACAGCGGCAAAAACCGCTGGATTCCCTAAATTTGCAATTTTGTGCCTTAAAGTTCCCCGCAGCTAGCGAGGAACTACTACGACTAAGAATTGATGGATGGTATCTAGATCTGCAAACGCAAGTCAATGTCCAGGGTTTGTCGCTTGCCCAGTCGGTATGGTAATCCAAATGAAGTCGAATGTGGTCCATTTTCTAGTTTGGGTTACTAGTCTTCTTTTTCTTTTACCACTTGCGACTAGCTTCTTTCAGCGCTGGGCTTGATTTGCAGAGTTGAAATGAAGCGTCCACTTTTTTCAATTGTTTAGTGGTTCCCTTTGCTCGCGTACTCAAGCGAAAGTGCAAGGAAAAGTAAAAATAGTCGAGTGAAAATTGAACAAGAGGAAAAAGGAGTAGTAATATAATAGGCTCCATTGCTGTTGCTTACATTGGCATACAGTTGTGCCATTCTTAGCCGCTTCTCTCCGAAAACTTCAAGCAATTAACTCCCAAATGGAATTCCATGTTTCTAGTTTAAGCTTGTCCTTCTGTTTAACCTTCCATGCAATTCTTTTCATGGTCATTAACTTCTCTTTTCCTGGCAATGTTTTAGCAGCCGTAGTCAGGAATGAGACTGATGAACTTGCGCTTCTGGCATTCAAATCAGAAATAACTGAGGATCTTGATGGTGTCTTAGACTCTTGGAATGCAACTCTCCATTTTTGCCAGTGGACTGGGGTGGAATGTGGGCTCAAACACCAGAGGGTCAGCAGTTTGGATCTAAGAGGACGGAGATTGGCTGGTTCTGTATCTCCTCATGTTGGAAGTCTTTCATTTCTTCGCGTGCTTGACCTATCAGACAACTCCTTCCATGGGGTGATTCCCTCAGAAGTGGGACATCTATTCAGGCTTCAGACTCTAAACTTAAGTTATAATCTCCTAAAAGGTGAAATTCCAGCCAATCTTTCTCATTGTCAAAGCCTCACTTATCTTATTCTAGACCACAATTTTCTTGAACGACACATTCCTCCTGAACTTGGTTCACTGACAAAGCTGGTCATGCTCTATCTTAAGAACAACAACCTCACAGGAACTATCCCAGCTTCCATTGGGAATCTTACATCCCTTCAAGAGCTTTATATCTCATACAATGATCTGGAGGGAGGATTTCCAGATACAATGGCTCAACTCAGAAGCTTGGTGTCCCTTGGTATGTCATGGAATTCTCTTTCTGGAGAATTTCCTCCTGTTCTTTTTAACTTATCATCTCTTCAGCTCATAGGTTTGTCATTTAACAAATTTAGAGGTAGTCTTAGACCTGACATAGGCCTTTTCTTTCCCAAACTCCAAAGACTGTATTTGGCAAACAATTCTTTTACTGGACTTATTCCAGCTTCACTGTCAAATTGTTCAGAGCTTCTACAGCTAGACTTTCCCGAGAACTATTTCACTGGAAATGTACCACTGAGTTTTGGGAACCTTCGAAACCTATTCTGGCTTAATGTCCTTACCAACCAGCTGGGAAGTGGGGCCTCTGGTGATTTGAATTTTATTAGTTCTCTCAGCAATTGCCAAAATCTTGAGTTTCTTGATATTGCTGAGAACCATTTTGGAGCTAAGTTACCTGATTCTATAACTAATCTATCAACCTCGCTCACACGGTTACTTGTTGGACAAAACATGATCCATGGAACCATACCTAAAGATATTTCTAAACTTTTCAACTTGAATGTTCTCAGCATAAAAGAAACTCTGATAAGTGGTAGCATTCCAGGATCCATAGGAAAGCTTTCGAACTTGAAAACCCTTCATTTTGAATCAAATCGATTGACAGGAGTCGTGCCCTCTTCCTTGGGAAACATCACAGGCCTCTTGTATATTTACCTTCAAGATAACAACTTGGAAGGAAGTATTCCTGCTAGTCTCGGTAACTGTAGGTTCCTCCAGAGACTAGAACTTTCAAAGAACAACCTCACTGGTTCCATACCAAAAGAAATCATGCGCCTTTCATCCCTTTCGCTTGTCCTTGATATGTCTCAAAACTTCTTCAGTGGTCCGTTGCCCGAGGAGGTTGGGAACTTGACAAATCTTGCAGTGCTTGATCTTTCGAACAACAAACTCTCTGGGAGAATTCCGAGCACCCTGGCAAATTGCTTGTCCCTGGAATCACTCTATATGCAAAGCAATGACTTAGAAGGAGAAATTCCATCCCTGACTAGTCTGAAAAACATTCAGTATTTTGATATTTCTAGTAACAACTTGTCAGGGCACATTCCGCAAAGCATGGCCGAGCTCTCAACTTTACGTTATTTGAATCTCTCATTCAACCATCTTGAGGGTAAGATACCGGTTGAAGGCGTCTTTGCAGATGCTAGTTCTGTTCAAGTGCGGGGCAATGCAAAACTTTGTGGAGGCATCGAGGGGCTGCATTTGCAGCCATGTCCAAGGCAATCACCCAGAGGATCAAAGAAGAAAACTGCGATAAAGGTGATACTGATTGTTGTTGTTTCTTCATGTTTAGCCCTGCTGTTGCTTTTACTTTTGCTTTGTTGGATGCGAAAGGTGAAAAAGAAACCTACTTCAGCGTCTTTGAGCGACCAAATATACAAGAAGGTTTCTTACAATGACTTGCTAAATGCAACTGAAGGGTTCTCATCACACAATTTGATAGGATCAGGTAATTTTGGAACTGTGTACAAAGGATGTCTTGGTCCAGATGCAAAAATAGTTGCTATCAAAGTCATCAAGCTTCAAAAGAAGGGAGCTTTCAAGAGCTTTTTGTCCGAGTGTCAAGCCATGCGGAACATAAGGCATAGGAACCTTGTGAAGATTCTTACTGCTTGCTCAAGCGTAGACTTCAATGGCAATGACTTTAAAGCACTAGTATATGAATACATGCCAAATGGAAGTCTGGAGAAATGGCTGCATCAAGATGGTGAGCAGATGCAGCAGAAAGGTCTTAGCATCTTCCAACGGATAAACATAGCTATAGACGTAGCTTCTGCATTGCATTATCTACATAACCAGTGCCAAACATCTTTGGTGCACTGTGATCTTAAACCGAGCAATGTTCTGCTTGACAATGATTTGACTGCTCATGTAAGCGATTTTGGTTTGGCAAGGCTTCTAATTTCCAACTCCAGGGAAGATGCTGATCTGAATCAATTTAGTTCACTAGGGATCAAGGGCACCATAGGTTATGCTGCTCCAGGTAAATTTTTCTACTGATCTTAGAATTTGAGATTCTTGTAAATCTTGGATAATATTGTTGAATTTTATATTGGCTTCAAGTTAATGTTAGATAAGAATAAGAAAGGGGTCAATAAATTTTGCAGAGTATGGCATGGGTGGTCGTGTGTCTACTCAAGGAGACGTCTACAGCTTTGGGATTCTACTGCTGGAGATTTTCACAGGTAGGCGGCCCACGGATGCACTCTTTACAGGGTACCTAAATCTCCATAGCTTGGTCAAAAAGGGATTGCCAGATAGTGTAATGGAAATTGTAGACCAATCTGCTCTGCTCGATGAAGATCCTGGAGATTTGGTGGAAGCAGTTGGATATGAAACTCATAGCAGCAGAGTTGAGCTCAGTGACATATTGGTTTCAGTTTTTAAAATTGGCGTTGCATGCTCAGAGGAGGCTCCTCAAGACAGAATGAACATGAGTCAAGTTGTCAATGATCTGGCTTCGGTCAGAGAAAAATTCAGTGGAAAAAGTGCACGTAGGAGGGAAATGCAAAAATCAGACGGACGGGTGAATATTCTAGTAGATTCACTAGCTTCCACCGAGCTGATTCACTAGTAACAGTCCCATAATATGGGAGGAGCTCCTCCTATCTCCTTTTTCCGGCTCTCTTAGCAAGTAGTTTCTTAATTCGCCTTTAGTTTAGAAATAAAATAACTGACTACAGCGCACTTTCACTGTAATTGGTTGTCCGTACTATCCCGTCTTGCATGTATTTTCAGGTCTTCAATTGAACGCATCGTGTACTACTTTACAGTAAAACGAATTGAAATGCACTTGAAAACCCTCCAATAAAAACGCAATCAAAGTGCATTCTGATCAAATAATCTGTCGGCTTATATATAGCCTCCGCTACCAGCAGCTTGAATTGTATGCGAGTTTGCCAAGTTGTAGACTTTGCAGCATGTTGGCAACGATTTGACCGAAGAGAGTTGTATAACTATAGCAGCCAGCTGCATGCCCGTATCTTTGTGTCCTCCTGTATTGTTTATTAATATTTTGCTTATTTGGTAACTTGGAAGAATGAACTGTTCTGACTGCCAAGTACCAATCCTTACAGAAAAGAATGATTATATGATAGGAGTATTAGCTTATAGAGTCAACACGCAACACATGAGAGGTATTATGATTCGCCTGAAATTTCAAGATCTGGATACATATATCCACCAATACTGGTAATCTAGATGTAATACAGGAGTAGTGTTTACTACAATCAAAGTATATTCTGGCCATCCACATACCAGTAGTCTATGACCAACCAAATATTTTGTGCGCTACTACGTGCACTAGGACATGCCCGACAATTTTCAAAGAAAACGGGTCTGGCAAATTCCTGATGCAACCATTAGCAGTCGGTCAAGCTCCAATCCATTTGATAGCATGCATTCAATACCATCAGTTCCACTTGTCCACTCATTATCACAGAAACTTGGCTTCTGAAATCAAATAATTTGTCACCAGTTTCTGCAACAACCTGACTACCACGACAAAGCATGCTCAGCAACCTTTTCCTTCCAAATTGAGCTTCCAACGCCAAAATTACATTTAGGCATGTAAACTGGATTAGCGCCATGTTCCATCATTCGCATGTTGATCATCTTTGGATTTTTAACATATATTTCATCTGCTATGCTTGTGTCAAATGACACAGACAAATTTGCACTAATGGAGTTTTAAGTCCCAGATAAGTGAAGTCGCTCTTGGTGCCATGCCTCCTGGAAATTTTCTCTGCATTTTTACCAGTTGATAGGAGTCCCGCATAAGAATCTTTTGCAGGCCAGCATTCCAGAATTTACCAGTAATCCATGCATGAACAAGAGCCTCCTTTAAAGTGATGAAACCGGTAACAGTCTCTCAATACTATTTCTCTATTATAAAGCTTTGATATCAGCTTAGCAGCAGCATGGCAGTCACCACAGATACGGAGATTCTTTACAATTCGAATTGGTTGGGATGGGCTTATACTAATAAGTCCAAACGCCATAGCCAACTTCTCGCTGTGAAGATATAATGCCTGCTCTTGCACATGTTCTTCTTCAACAAGTTGCAGCAGCTGGGATTTCATTGGCACATAACCAACAGATGTCAATCTAGTCGCAATCTCATCCAATTTCAGGTAGATATTCTTTGAAAGAGGGTGAGTATTATCTCCAACAAGAAATTCATGAACATTGCCATCCACCTCAATTAAGCTGCAACCGGGTTCCTTCTTTATTCCAGAGTTTCTCATAAGCTTCCTTAATTCTGAAACTTTGTCCCATCTACCTGATTTAGCATAAATATTAGATAAAAGCACATAGGCTCCATCATTTTGAGGCTCTAATTCAAGCAAATTGCTACAAGCCCGTTCACCTATGTCTATGTTTCCATGAAGCCTGCACGCACCCAGCAGAGCCCCCCACACTGATGCCCCAGCGGAAATGGGCATATTGTCAATTACATCAAGTGCTTCTTCCAAGTTACCTGCACGACCAAGAATATCAACCAGGCAAGCATAGTGCTGGACCCCAGGCACAACCCCAAAAACTGACTCCATTTGATTGAAAATGCCCCTTCCAGAATCCACCAGCCCCGAGTGACTGCAAGCACTTAATAAGTTGGTAAAAGTAACAGAATTAGGCTTGACCTTAGCTTCTTGCATTTTCAAGAAAAGACCTATTGCTTCCCTTCCACGCCCATGCATTGCGAAGCCAGCAATCATGGCACTCCATACAAAAACATCTCTATTGTCCACAGAATGAAATACTTCAAGTGCCTTCTCCAAATCCCCACACTTAGAATACATGTCAATCAATGCAGTAGTGAGATGACAATTTAAATTAATATCATGTTTATTGATGTATACATGAATCCAGCCCCCTAAATCGATTGCCCCCAACTGAGCACATGCTGACAGCACACAAACAAGTGTAACTGCATCAGGTTTAGCCTCCTTTCTGAGCTGCAATTCATTGAAAGTAGCCAATGCCTCCTTAGGATTACCATTCTGCTCATAAGCCGAGATAAGAGCATTCCATGCAGCAATATCTTGGCAAGGCATTGTATCAAATAGACTCCTAGCAGCACTAAAATCCCCCACCTTCGTGTACCCGACAAGCATAGTTGTCCATGAAATAATGTCCTTAACCCCCATCTTGTCAAACAATCTTTTTGCATCCTCCATACTCCCACACTTTACATACATGTCAAGAATTGCATTATTTAATACCAAACTCTCCTTAATCCCATTTCTCCTAATATACAAATGCATGGACCTCCCGAGCTCCAAGTCTAAATTCTTTGCGCAAGCTGACAGGACTCCTATCATGGTGACGTCATTGGGCCTCACATTTTCTCCCTCCATCCTGAAGAACAAGTCCAATGACTCTTCAGCATAACCGCCTTGTGCAAGCCCGACGATCATTGAATTCCAAGAAACAACGTCCCTTTTGGGCATGCTCATGAAAACCCGGTACGCCATATCGAAACACCCGCATTCACCATAGAAATGGATCAAAGAATTAAGAACAAACAAGTCAGACCCAAACTCCGATTTGAGCACCATCCCGTGGAGCCCTTTTCCAACCGACAGAGCTGAAAGCAGTGCAGAGGCTTTGATCAGAAAAGGAAACGTAAATTTATTAGGCAATTCATCACTCCCATGAAGCATTTTGATAAAGATCAAAAGGGCATTAACGGGTTCTTGACTGGAAGCATAGGAGCGAATGAGGGCGTTCCAAGAGTAAAGATTTGGGCGGGGAATTTGATCAAACACTTTCTGGGCATACTGGATGCTTGAGACTTCCGAGAAAGCTGCGACCTGGATGAGCTTGCTGGCCGAATAAGGGTCGGAAAAGAGCCCGATTCGTAGCATTCGAGCGTGAATTTGCTTGAGCTGTGTAGAGTCGGAGCATCGGTCCAGCTGTAAGAGTAGAGGGTGGTCTGCTAAGTAACGTTCGTTATTGACAGTTATGGAAACAGGAGTTGGGTGGCGGTTAAGTGGAAGGTTGTTGATAGCAGGGGTGCATGAAATGGCCATGAGTTTTGCTTTGCTTGTGGCACCCTTTTCCTGGCTTTCTATCAAACTACACAGGACATAAGATGATTACTATCCCGTGCGCATCGTTTAGTAATGGCTAATAAAATGTTAATCGTCCTCCACAAGCATTTGGGTTCAAACTGTTCTAATTCAGCTATACATGGATGGAAGTGGAACTCAACGTAAAGAAGAATTTCATCCCCTCCGTTAAACTTTTCACTTGCAGATTCTGGAACTGGAGGGATCGCTGATTAATGTTTTAATGTTTTCGGACAACCAATCTTTTTTTCTTTTTTTTTTTTAACGAACAACCAATCATCAATCAACTCCGGGCGTAATTAGAATGAACCTCCTTGTAATTATGAGCAAGTTGACCTTTGGCCTTCCGAGTTTATTATATCAGCAATTTCCCCCCTTAAATACCGGTCCAGTTTTTTGCGTTTTTTCAGTTTTCGCCTTTCTTCTTTTCTGTTGTTACCACGTACTAACTTTTTCAAGCTTGGAGAACTAGCAGCATTCTGAAGATAAGGGTCAAGGGCAACTGCAAAAGCTGAATCTTTTAGAGGGAATGAGCATTTCAATAAACGTAATTTTGCTTTGAATTTGATTGTGAAAATAATTTGAATGGCAACTTTCCCTGGCAAATTATGTGCCTTTCATCCTTAACTCTTTGTCCTGAGATATCATCCAGTTTGTTCACAGTCAGGCCCCTTCCCCACCGGAGTTGGAAACCTGATTTTTTTTTTTTTTTCGGATACGACAACTGTTGTATAACCTAATCTATCTTACACTAAGGGGGAGGGGGCGGACTTAAGGAGGCCCAGGGATAATCCGGAGAGGACTGAACCACCACCGGATCAGACGGATGCACTGCACACCCGCTGAATTTTTGAAGCAAACCACTTAAATGTGACATTTTTGGTGGCCTTAATGGCTAGGTGGTGGCCACCAGCTCAAAGGTTGGTGGTTAGTTAGAAACCTGAAACATACTGTAAAACTTGCAGTATTGAACAACAGTAAGTTGTTTTGTTTGCTGAGATAGTCAAGCCTATGGTAATCGTTGACTTGAAACCACTTTAACTGCCGGATGATCTCTTTGTAGGGCATTCCGTCCATGCATCACTTAAAAAAGTTTTGAATACACAGATTTTCCAGCAACGGCCTGTCAGGCAGAATTGTTCTATACCATTTCAGCTAGCTTGTAGGCAAGATTCCACCCCCCAACGAGTCTTCAGAAGTTTTCAGTGCAGATGATTATTTTTGGGATTTAAGCTTTTGTGGCCGCATTTCATAACTTCACTCCGAGACTATTATTCCCTGTCGAAGCTCATGTTTAATCCATATAGCATTATTGTTTTCGGGGTTGATAGTAGTTAAGCTCATCCCATCCCCGTCGCTAGCTCTCTTGATTAGTTTCGTTGCAGCGTACTTCGCCAGAAAAGTTAAGAAGGAATAAACTAGTCCCCATCTACCATAGGACAGCTCGCTGATAGATTTTCTTCACAAATTATTATAGGTTCAGCTCATATCGAATGGAAAGCAAAGACCTCGTGAATGATTGCAACAAGGAAACACACACTCCAGAACTCAGTTTCTGTCGTATTTTTGCATGTGACATATGAAAACACGAAGATGTGTATAGCAACAGAGTCGAATTTAGTTTACAAAGAAGAGATGCAAGAACCCCTAAAAAGCTACTGCGCATGCCTATTTTCCTGTGATCAAACCCACTGAATGTTTAAGCTATACTAGAATTGGAGTGTCATGCACAGCGAAATTCCCAAGACTCAGACTGGAAAACAAAGAAGCTGGGCAGAGACTAGTTTCCATCAGAGGCAAACATCAAAAAAGCAAGGAACTGTAACCAGGGGCGGCACGCATCCTTACTAAAAGATGCAATGACAATATGATATTTTCAGAATTTTTTTTATCCTGGACCAATAACTGTCCATTCTAATTTCTAAAAGAAGATAAGAGCAGTACAAAATTTTGGTTGTTATAGGGATTCTTCAATAAAGATCAAACACGTTGAAATTGTTTGTTTCTGTAGTTAACATGGGGATGTAGATTACAATTGCCGCTCCTTGTTGAACTTGACTTGTAGAGATGGAACAACAATCTCAACAATTTAATTCACGATAACAAAGTGCTAACCAAAGGCATTAAGGTTAATTACAAATAGATTAAACAAAGACATCACAAATTTAACATCACCATTCAACTAATTCACGAACAACCTTCACGATCACATACATAAATGATGCAGCCGAGTGCCCCCCAAATGGTAAATAAAATCCTAGGACCAGTCTACCAGTAGAAGGGCAAAGCCAAAATTACATTGGAAAGGCGGAAATTAAGCCCTGCTGCTATCGTAATCAATGACCTCAGAATCAGTAACGGACCTGGAATGCTGCACAATTGAGCGTCCGATGGAGTTGATCCAATCTTCTTTCTCCTTGTCCGAATCAGCCACGAAGTACATGGTATCCCTGCTAGTGGAGAGCTCGAAAGAGAAGGGCTTGTTGAGGACGTCCTCGGCGCCTTTGACGGTGAGGCAATCGGCAGTGGAGATGACGCCACGTGGAATGGCGGAGCTGGTGGAGGAATCAAAAGGGTCTTTGAACCAGAGCAGCTTGCCTTGTTTGAGAACGAACCAGCGACGACGCCAGGTTTTGATGTACTCGCCTTGCTTGGTCAGCCAACCGGAGCGCTCCGGGTTGGACCAGAACTCCACTCCGGAATAGTCAGATGGGTCCGGGTTGGCGCCGGTCACCGATCGCCACAGGCTCTCCATTTTTCTCTTAATTAATATATGGAACGGCAGAGGGAGAAGTAGATGATGACTGATTGAGTATTATAGCTGAGTTTTGTGAATTGTGATAAAGACAGAATACAAATACACGCACAAAGTCTACCCGACTGCCAACGCTTTGTAGAATGTAAGAGTTGACAGTTAGCACTGGACTTTGCGAGGATTAGCGGTTACGCTTCGGGTTAATCATTAATGGCCTTTGAGGAGGTGATTTTTGGTTGGTACCTAAACCGACCTGGATCAGTCCTCTCTGAGATGAAGTGAGGTGAACTCCTGTGTCCGAAGTGAACCTCGGTGTCCGAAGTGAGTGGCGGGGCTTCTCCCCTGGTATCACTCCGACGATCAAGTTAGTATGAGAACGAGAATAATGAGAATGAGTTAATGAACAGTGTGCTTACTTGTTGGGAGTGTGTCTGGGGTATTTATAGAAGAGAGGTGGTCAAGACGGAAGGCTCATGCTAGCGGGACCCACTCTCTGGCATTACGGCTCTGTCTCCTGTCAGGAGGTCTGACTCTGACACTGTAGCCGCCTGGGAGTGATGACGGAGGATATGGTGCAGGTGCCATTAAGTGCCTCCAGTGCTTTTCAGATAAAGTGCTGGTCCTGGATGATGTCAGGTGGGTTGACATCATCAGCGTGCAGCTGAGGCGGGGGTGCCGAGGTCGGCTACACAGTATGCTATGGAAACGGCCGAGCCCGAGCTCAGGGATGATGTCCGGGACACGGATGAACTCCGATGAGGGACGAGGTGAGTCCACCTCGGCCACTCGGGATGGCCGAGGTGAGCATCCTCAATAAGCCCCCCAAGCCTCGGATGCTCCGAGCAAGGGAGGTGCCGAGGCTTCCTAGTGCTGAAGTCATGAAGAGTCGAGGCTCCGAAACCGCTCCGGAAGATGCGGGGACTCGACACGTGGACGAGTCAGTTGATAGGACGTGGTCACTGATAACCGTCGCGTCGTGAAGTAGTGGGACGTTTCGTGCAGAAGGTGTCAGTCGAAAGGACGGGGCATTAATGAGGAGAGAGGGAGGCGTGACGTTTTGAATTCGATCGTGATCGTCTTTTCGTATTCTTGCCGCCTCTTCGGATTCTGGCTCTCCTCTATAAATAGGTGGTCCCTTTCACCGCATGGCCCATCACTTTCTTTCTTCGCTTGACTTGCAAAATTTGTGAGCGTAGCCGAGATCAATCCTGCCAGCCGAGATCACAGCCGAAGTCGTCCACTTCGTCCAGTTCGGTATACAATAGTAAGTATCCCTTTTTCTTCTTGTCTTGTCTTTCACATATGGCCAAAACGGCTAAAACCCACAAAGAAACCGTGACCCCGAGCTACCAGACCGAGGTGAGGGCGGATTCTGAGGAAGAAGCGACGACGTCCAGTTCGGAGGGGTCGGCACAGGGTTCCGAGGAAGGATCGACCGAAGTGAGAGTCGGCGAGGCAGGCTCGGGATTGGAATCGTCCGAGATGAGCGAGGGTGGTTCCGAGGTCGAGTACAATACCAAGCTCGGGACCGAGATACCCCATGACGAGGGCGTGCCGGAGCCAGTTGCTCCAGTGGACGTAGCCAACATCAATTTCGGCCAGATGCCGAAGTTTAGGAGTCGAGTGGGAAGGGATAGGGCCGAGAAGGTGGTAAACAAGTACCCCTTCCGGCCGTGGTATGAAGTTTTGCCGCCCGAGGTGGATGACACAGCCGCGGAACCCCCCTTTGGCATGGTGGCCGTCTACATTCAACAGCTGGAGGCCGGGCTGAGGATGCCGACGTCGAGGTTCCTCCGGGACTTACTTCGTCACTTCCAGGTGAGAATCACCCAACTCACCCCGAATGCGATCCGCATCATTGTGGGGTTTGAGATGCTGTGCCGACATCAGGAGGTGACTCCCTCCGTCGATCTCTTCCGCCGATGCTACACCCTCAAGGCGCACGCGACTGATAAGGGATGGTTTTATGTTGGCAACCGGAACAATGCCATCCCGAAGTTGGTGATCGGTGCTCCCAGCTCGATCAAGAACTGGAAGCGCGACTACTTCTTCGTGCCCGGAGTGGACTTTCCGAGGGGTTTTTGGTGGAGGCCAATTAAGGCGAAGGCCGACCCCTCAGCGGGGGATGCCGAAGAGGAGTCCTTCCAGAAGCTGATGAAGTCGGGACTTCGGCTATTCAGCCATGACTACCCCGAAGCCGTGCTCGTGGATGGGGGGATAAGTCGAGCCGTGATCAATACTACCAAAGCTCCCTTCTTTTCCACTGAACTTGAGAAGCCTTGTAATTTTCTTTCATGACTTTTCTTTTCACTTCGGCTAAGGCATATGATAATATTTATTTCTTGTGCAGTGACTAAACTGTCCGACCTCGTCGTCTCTGGCTCGTCCGAAGTGGCCAAGAGGCAGAAGAGGAAGAGCACTGACGAGACCTCAGCACCTCCGCCAAAGAAGAAGAAGTCACAAGGACCAGCCGCTAAGACCTCGGCGCCTAAAGGCACTCCCTCCAAGGTTGGCCAGAGCAGCTCGGCCACTGCGGCTACTGGGTCCACCTCGTCTGTACCAGAGGGAGTCCCCCTTGGAGTTGTTACAAAGGTCACACCTCCTTCTGGCCGAGGCAAGCAGCTGAAGCCTCCAGTTAATCCGGTATCGGGGACCTCGCTATGGAATCGTTTCCATAGCCCCCCAGTGTTTCCCGGAGACGAGAAGACGCACTCCGGCAATCATTGGTGTCCGAACTGGAAGATTTCGGTCAACGACAGGTGCCAACACCCTCGGGTCGCTCAAGAGCTAATAATGCACTCCATTCTGCCAAGGGATTTGGAGTTCATGAAGAAGCTGAGCCCGGCCGAGCTGGTTCAAAGTCTGATGGTGACCACGGCTTCCACCTCAGCCTTCGCGGCCGAGATGGCACACCGATATTGTGCTCTGGTCGATGAGCAGGACACCGGCAAGCTACAGAATCAGATCTCCAAGTTGGAGAAACAACTGGCGGTGTCCGAGTCTGAGAAGGCCGAGCTTGAAAAGCGGCTTAAGGAGGCCGAGGTGAAGGATGAGGAGGCCGTGGCTACTGTCAACAGTCTCAGATCGGCTCTCGAAGAAGAGCAGAAGAGGGGGGACGAGGCGAAGAAGTCCCACGAGCAAGCCCTTGACAGTGCTAGAACCTCGGCCGTGGAAACGTTTCGGAGGTCTGAGGCCTTCACCAGGGATCTCGGCCAACTACTCACGCCGAACTTCATGTTTGGCTTCACATCGGCCATAGATGAGGCTGCAGCTCACCTCTCCTCCGAAGCCTTGGAGTCCCTGAAAAACCATGCCAGCTACAATGAGGACTCCAAGGAGTTGTGCGACCGGATGGCCGAGGGCCTCCAAACTGGAAGGAACCTGACCGAGGTCCAGGCCGAATTCAACAAATGGCTGTCCGAGCTCGAGGAGGTGCTCGAGAAGGTTGAAGAGGAAGAAACTGGAGAGGATGCCGGGGGAGACGAAGCCGGAGAGGACGAAGTCGGAGGGGACATCGGCAAAGAGCCTGAAGATGAACACCCCGGCGGAAAAGAGGCCGAAGAGGAGGCTGCCCAGGAGGGAGCCAAGACCGGGGATGCAGCCGATACGGGGGTTTAGGCTTGTAGGCTTCAAGGGGGTGGCCGAGGTGAGGTGCTTAGTAGCACTCCGACCTCGGCCTTGTATTTTTTTGTAATACTTCCATTGAATGAAAGTCTGTTTCTTTTCATCTCAGCTCTTTAATTCCTTGTTTCTTGCTTGGATTTCATCCCTTGTTTGTCCCCCTTATTTTTTAATAAAGGGTGCTGGGCATCATATTGTTGAAAAATAACTAAATGGCTGAAGCCATAACTTGACAAGATAATTGGATGAAATAACTGAATGAAGTCACAACTTCAAGCATAATATAACCTAAGGTTCTCGGCGTGCCAAGACCTCGGCACAAATGAGCCATCGCGGTAACTCAATTTACAATACCCTTTAGGGTCAGATTCCACAACTCGGTAAGGGCCTTCCCATTTCGGGCACAGTTTTCCTTGAGGTTCAGCTCGGCTGACTGAATT